CCTCCGCTCTGCTTCCTCTTTGTAGTAGTTCTTGAGGGTCGTTCTGCATGGTCGCAAAGGACCCCAGTGACCACCGTTGGCCCCCCGGGTGCGTCTCCCTGAGGGGTCCAGCACTCTCACCGGCCAGAGCTGGCCACACCTGCAGCACCGAGGGGCTGGGGCGTAGAGAGATGCTCTGGAAAGATGCAGGGGTCAGCGGCGCTCTGTCCCGGTGTGTGTGGCCGTCCAGGAGTTCCCCGTGGGCATCTCGGGGTTTGTTGCGGGACCTAAAGCGATGTAGGGTGTGAGGGCCACAGATGACAGTCACTTGTGACTGTTGGGCAGGGCCACCTGGTGTTTTCTGGGCTGTGGCTGTCATCTGTCGTAGGAACTCACCATACAGGGAGATGAAATAGTGAGACTTGCATTTTCCGGTTTCTAGTGCTAAGCAGTCAGGTGGAGGATTTAATTAGATTTTAAAAGTTTTCCCCCATCACAGAGGCTGAAGGGGATCTAGAAGCAGCTTCCTTCCGGCAGCGTCTCCTCGCTGTGAAGTAGGGAGGTCCTTTGAGACTATATTCTGTTTGTTTTTGTGGATCCTCACCCGAGGATATTTTTTCCTTTGATTTCTAGATAGAATTGGGGGGAGGGGGAGAGAGACAGCGAGAGAGAGAGAGAGAGAGAGAGAGAGAGAGAGAGAAACAGACATCGATTGGTTGCCTCCCGCACGACCCAACCAGGCCTGGGGATTGAACCTGCGACCCTTTGGGACACAGGCTGACACTCTAACCACGGAGCCCAACTGGCCAGCGCTGGTTTTGTGGGGTTTTTTTTTTATGTTTTATTTATTTAGAAACATCGATTTGTTGCTCCACTTATTCATGCATTCATTCATTGCTTGACTCTGGTATGTACCCAAACTGGGGATCGAACCCGCAACCTTGGTGTAGCGGGACGACGCTCCAACCCACTGAGCTACCCAGCCAGGGCCTAAGGTTGTCCTTTGGGCACGTGTCTGTCTGCGTTGGTATTTGGTGGGGACAGAACGGACACTGATGAAACGGCTTTTGTCAGATGCTAGATGCCCACAAGGCAGCTCGTGGGACCCCCCAGAAGCTGTGGGGTAGGTGGTGTTCCAGGCATTTCACAGGTGTCCGTGCTGCTGGGGGGGAGGCGGCATTTCCCCGGCTTTGCCCACGTGTTGGAGAATTAGTGCCGAGTCTCGGGGATCCTTGCGGCCATATCAGGCCCAGTTACGCTCCAGCGAGTTCGAGCACATTGTTCTGTTGTCATTGTCGCAGATCTGAAGAGAGAGGCGGCTGTGTCTTCTTTAGGCCTATAACTTGCCCTCTGCAAGGTGCCTTTTCACAAAGTAAAACAAAGCCATGCCGGATCTGGTTTGTTTTTGCTCTGACACCCAGGAGGGGCATTGGAGGAGGAGGGAAAAGTCTTGAACGACATCAAGAAGTCGTCGTTTTGAAGGTGGCTTTGGGCCCGACACCAAAAGCCCTTCCCTGCACCGCCGTGCGGAAGGAGAGGCAACATTTGGGGTCTGAGGGAACGTCACACACGAGGGAGGGTGCCGCTTTCCCAAACTAGACCACGCGTGTCTTGCTGTGTTTTGAAACACGTGGACACGTTTCAGAAAGGGCATGCGTGTCTCCACACCAGGGACACTTCCCGGAATGTCCTTGTTGTTCTGTGGGTTACGTGGTTGGCATAGGAGTGTGTTTAAGAAAAGGACACGTTATCTTCCTGTTTACTGGGTTACGTTTTGATCTGTCTGTCTCCCTGGGACCTGGGCCATTTGGTCCCTCCCCGAGCCCCTGCCTTAGCTGCGGTCCTGTAGCTCCTGGCCCAGCCCTGTCCCCGCCGCCGTCTCCTTCCGGCTGCTTCCTCTGGGGGTGGGCGGAGGAGCCGGTCTCTGTAGCCCGCACAGCACACCTCGTCTCGTTTCAGGGAGACGTTTCCTGTGACCAGCCTCGAGGCTTTGACTTTTCTTTTTGTTTGTTTTTTAAATCCTCACTCGGGGATATTTTTCTGTTTATCTTCAGATAGAGTGGGAAGGAAGGAGAGAGAGAGAGAGAAACACTGATGTGAAAGAGACACCTCGACTGGCTGCCTCCCGCATGGCCCTGGGGCCGGGGACAAACCACAACAGGGGTCCGTGCCCTTGACCGGAATCGAACCCGCGACTTTTTGCTCCACGGGCTGATGCTCCAGCCGCTGAGCCAAGCCGGCCGGGGCAGGTTTGACTGTGCCACAGAGCCCTGCAACGCAGCATCTTCCCAGACTGAACGGAACTTTCTAATAAAACAAACAAAATTCCAACCTTTATCTCCTTCCCAGCTTCGCTTTGAGCTGCTCCCCCCACATGCACAGCTGACCGGGCCGCCCCAGAGTCTCCTTCCTTCCCGTGGCCACAGCTCGTCTGCTGTCTGCCTCCTCCCGGGGCCTCGTGGGCATCCCTGCGACGCGCCCCAGCTCCCCGAGGTCAGAGCGTCGCCCCAGCCTGGCTGCGCTCCAGTCCCCCGTTCGGGGCTGCCCTCCCTCCCCTGGTTGCCTTTCCTCTCCCCTCCTTTCCGGTCGCTTCAAGCTTTCTGTGTGTCCTGACGTCCCCGTTCCCATAACGTTTATTCCTGCTCTGTCCGGGGACCGAACCCGCACCCTAGGTATCTGCCCTGACTGGGAATCAAACCCGAAACCTTGTGGTGTATGGGACAGCGCTCAACCGACTGAGCCGCCCAGCCAGGGCCCACAGGTGTGTTTCTATTTTTTTATTTTTATCCTCACCCGAGGACATTTTTCCACTTTTTTGTACAGATAGAGTGGGAGGGAGAGAGAGGAACAGAGAGAGAGAGAAACATCGACGTGAAGGGACACATCGAGTGGCTGCCACCCGCACGACCAACCAGGGCCGGGGACAAACTGCAACCGAGGTACATGCCCTTAGCGGGAACCGAACCCGGGTCTCTCCGGACCGCAGGCCGACGCTCTAACCGCTGAGCGGCCGGCCAGGGCCACAGGTGTGTTTTTAAAGAGGAAGGTGAGCCCGTTGCAGGGGGTGGGTGCTTTGCTGTCTTCCTCACGACTGAACGACGAGGCACCCGTCGGCGAGGCCTCGGCAAGGAAGGTCGGGTCTCCCCTCACGCGCCCACAGGCAGCGGGGTCCCGGGAGGTGCCGGGGTGCTTTTCTGGTCCGTCTTGTTTACCCACCTGCTTCCCTCCGCCGCCCGCCCTTCAGCGCCAGGGCTCGGTCCCCCAGCCCTCCTCCTTCCGTTAGCATCCATGTGACCTTGTCTGTTTATCTTTGTCCTATGGCGAAAGGTATTTCCACTCGGAACAGGAGCTCTGAGATATTTAAACGATTGACTTCAAAGTCGGTGGCCCTGGGCCAAGCATGTCTCCTGAAGATAAATGGAAATACCCCCGAGAGGACAGTCGGGCCCGTGCGCTTGAACAGGACGCGGCGTGTCTGAGGGAGGCAGCCGGCTCTCGCGTGGCGCCGGGGCAGAAAGGGTGGCGTTGAGGTGAAAACACAGGGTGCTGTCTCCTCGGGGTGACCCGATCATTCCCGCAGCACGCTGTCTCCCGGGACACGTCCTCTGTGCTGAGTGGGAACCGAAGCCTCGGCGCTTGGGATTTATTTTTCATTTTGAGAGTGTTTGTTGAAGCAGGGACAGTGCAGCCAGGAAGGACGTAGAAGAAGCAGTCGGAGCGTCCTGGGCAGCGTTGCTGCGGCTCACGGGGAGTCAGAGAAAAGGGGGACCTGGGGACAGGATCAGGGGGCAGCCAGGGACGAGCTGCCGCTGCCTGTCGCTGCCCTGGTTGCAAGTCTCGTGGGGTCCCTTGGCGTCCAGGAGGTGCCTGCTTGTGGGAGAAGAAGGCGGGGAAGGGAAAGGGGTCCCTGTGCTTCCAGAAAGGAGAGCGTGCCCCGAAACCTAAATTGCTGATGGTCCACCCGGGCTCGGCGTAGCTGCGACTGTAGGAAGATGGGGGACACGTGGAGAGGTCGGGGGCAAAAATCGTAGGTTCCCCGGCCGGTGTGGCTCAGTGGTTGAGCGCCGACCCTGCACCAAGAGGTCGCCGGTTCAATTCCCGGTCAGGGCACAGGCCCAGGTTGTGGGCCCGATCCCCAGTGGGGGGCGTGCAGGAGGCGGCCAATCGATGTTCTCTCTCATCAATGTTTCTCTCTCTCTCTCTCTCTCTCTCCCTTCCTCTCTCTCAAAAATCAATAAAGGAAAAAAATAATCATAGGTTTTCCGCAGGTTCCTCTCCGCCACGTCACATTGCCCGTCACAGAGACACGACCTGACTTTTCCCTGGTAAAACTGGGAGACTTGGATTCCTTGTGTTGTGTTTGAAGCAAATCCGACGTAACGCTTGGGAAGAAGCAACTTAGTGTCGTTCTTGATGGCCTGGCGCATTTTCCCCGAAGTTTGCAGACAGATGCTAAACCCCACATGTTGTTACCATTCCCACAGATACATAACCCAACCGAGCTACACCGGCCGGGCCGCCGTTGTTTTTGTTATCAACTCTATTTGTATTTTTTTTCTTTATGGATTTTTGGAGAGAGACGGAGAAACATCGATGGCATCGGGCCCACAACCTGGGCACAGGCCCTGGCCGGGAATCGAACCAGTGACCTCTTGGTGCAGGGCCGACGATCAGCCACTGAGCCACACTGGCCAGGCCGCTGTTGTTTATGCAGGATTATCAAAGAAACCACGGGCAGGGAGAAGCAGAGGATGAGATGGTTGTGCAGAACACTGCGACGGAATTTAGGACGTATGTCTGTCGTTTATCGTCCAGGAACTGAAATGTCCTGTCCACAGCTTGTGCAAAATGTGGAAGACAGCCTCCCTCTCTGTGGCGCATCGTAGGGTGTGTTTGTGCCGTGCACACTCGTTTTAAGCTGACGTGCACACAGGAGGGGTTGTGGGTCCCCTGCCTGTAACACACTGTGGTTGTCCTCTCTCCGCTCGTTAGCTGATGGCACGCAATCCTGATCTCTCCAGGTACGGCGTGAGCCCCGAGAACATCATCCTGTACGGACAGAGCATCGGGACGGTCCCCACGGTGGACCTCGCCTCGCGGTACGAGTGCGCTGCTGTGATCCTCCACTCGCCTCTGATGTCGGGTCTGCGCGTGGCTTTTCCCGACACCAGGAAAACGTACTGCTTCGATGCGTTCCCCAGGTAAGCGCACACCTGTGCAGCAGGTGCCGAGGTGCCCCGTGCCCCGAGGGTCCGGGCCTGCCGCCACCAAAAACTGTGGGCCCGTAATAAACATTTACTGCCCTGGCCGGTATAGCTCAGTAGTTAGAGCGTCAGCCCACAGAGCAGAGTTGTGGGTTCAGCTCTGGTCAAGGGTACATACCTCGGTTGTGGTTTGATCCCTGGCCCTGGTCGGGTCATGCAGGAGGCAACCAGTCTGTGTCTCTCTCACATCGATGTTTTCTGTCTGTCTTTATCTCTCTCTCTCTCTTGCTCGCTCCCTCCCACTCTATCTGAAGATAAATGGAAAAATAACCTCGGGTGAGGATTTTAAAAAATGTAAATAGATAAACATTTACTGAATGCGGGGGACGTGGAGGTGAGCAGGAGGCAGCAGCGGAGACTTTGTCCTCTGGGGATGACTCATCTGTCGAAATCCAGCCGATAACGTGTGAGGACCTTGCTCGGACCGAGCCCAGGCTCCCTCGCTCCAGCTGTGTGCCAGGACACGGCGCGGCCCGGGAGGGAGGGACCTCACAGCCCACGTCGCCACGTTCGGGTCAACGTGTGTTGTTAAATCACCAAGGGCCACACACTGAGATAAAAACTGCAGCCATCCACAGTTTTTGCTTCTTTTTTTAGTCCTCACCCAAGGACATTGTCGTTGATGTTTAGAGAGAGGGGAAGGGGTGGAGAGAAAGAGAGAGACATCAATGTGGGGCAGAACATCGCCGGTGGCCTCCCGCACGCGCCCTGACTGGGAGTCAAACCTGGACCTTTCGTTGTCCGGGACGATGCTCCAGGCAGCTGAGCCACGCTGGCCAGGGCGTCCGCACCGTTGCAACGTCCCTTCACCTTTCCAGTCGGACAGGGTAGCTGAACGAAAAGGTGGAGTGAGCTCCTCGCGCACAGAGGACACGCTTGGGTCTCAGCCACAGGGACCGTGACGCACGCCCTGCTGTTCGCCGCCTCCTCGCCCCGTTCCCGAGAAGCCCTCCCTGCAGCGCGGCCTGCCCCCCACGGACCACGTGGCCGAGAGCCCGGCTGTCCTGGTTCCCCCTCGGAAGGAACACAGATCAGTGCCCTACAGCTGCAGAGCGACAAGCCTGGCTTCATGAAGACCTCTGTCTGAAAATCCTACTCGTTTTTAGATCTAAGACGGGGACGGTATACTTTTAAAAAATTTTTCTTTATTGATTTGAGAGAGAGAGAGAAACATCGATGAGAGAGAACATTGATTGGTCGCCTCCTGCATGCCCCCCACTGGGGATCGGGCCCACAACCCGGGCTTGTGTCTTGACCGGGAATCGAACCGGCGACCTCTTGGTGCAGGGTCGACGCTCAGCCACTGAGCCACACCAACTGGGCAGGGACGGTATTTTTAGTAAAAGCTGTTGGCCCCCTGACCGCTCTGCCTGGCTAAGGTGACCTCCGAGGCTTGAGGGCAGGCTGGTTGGCTCAGCGACCTTCAGTAGGAAGGTCTCTGCCGAAATAGCGTCCGGTTTTAGGATTGGATTGGCCCCGTGAATTGTCATTCTGCTGTCACTGGGGGCGAAAAAGAGCATCGTTTGGTTACGTACATGGCATCGCACAAGTAGAAGCCCCTGCTCACGCCTGGGCGGACGTCCGTCGGAGCAGCGGGTGGGGTTTGGTGAGGCCCGTGTGCCGGGAATGCCCAGCGGGCCGGCCCCTGCCGAATGCGGAACGGGAGGCCCGTGGGCTGGAGGCCGAGACTGAGCATCCCTGTGGGCACCGTGCGAGGAGCCCCCCGGGCAACGGAATGAACAGCGCTTCTTCCTTACGCCTCCTAAGTGAGCGTCTGTCTCAAAACACAGCCCTGACAACGCACCGCAGCTCATTGGTTAACAGTGAACTAGCATCCAGTCTTCACAGGGCGTGTGGGGTGCGCCAGGCATCTGGCTAAGCCGGATCTCAGTCTTCAAAACAGCCTCCGGAAGGCGGTCCGGTTACAGGTGGGGAAACCAAGGCTCAGGCAGTGAAGCGTTTTGCTCACTTCAGGTTGGCGAGTGGAGACGGCCAGAAACGGCCATTCCACCTGCTCAAACCCATGGAGTGTCCGTGCGCTAGACCCCGAAGCAGGGCTGTCCCGCGACCTTCCCTCCTTGATCATTGCGGCCGAGAGCACTCCGGACGCAGCTGTGTCCCTCTTTAAAGGAGGGCCCTCCCTGTTTCCTTTCTAAAGATTTTATTTGTTTTTTCTTTATTGATTTGAGAGGGAGAGGGAGAGAGAGAGGAACATCGATGAGAGAGAACATCACTGGCCGCCTCCTGCACGCCCCCCACTGGGGATCGGACCCACGACCTGGGCATGTGCCCTGACCGGGAATTGAACCGGCGCCCTTTTGGTGCAGGGTCGACGCTCAGCCACTGAGCCACACCGGATGGGCCCCGTTTCTTTTGAATACTAAAAAAATAAGAGTCCTGGTTGTTCTTTGGTTTGTTGTCTATTTTCTTTTACCCTCTTCACAGTTAGGCTCAGACGTGGCACTGGACTTGAGAGACACCCTCCCGGCGATAGGGACGGTTCCAAATCGTGCAGCGTGGAACACAGCCCCTCCCCGTGCCAGGAAATATCTTCCACGTGGAATGTAACTGGACTCTCGCATTCTTCGAAGTCCCGTTCAAATTAGATGCAGGGGGGGAAGTAGATTCATAAATAAGAGTCTTCATCTGCGAAGTTGAGTGCTGCCACCAAGGGTCAGATCTTGGCCAGTGACATGGCCGGGGTGAGGTTTTGCCGTCTCCCTGGGCATCTTGAAGCGGTTGGCAGCTCTCTGCACTGTTCGGCGTGGCTGGGACAGCGCTTTTGTAGATCGGGGGGATGTGAGTGAGGTCAGAGCTCCCCCTCCTGTTCACGACCTCCAGATGATCCAACAGTCTCTCTGAGCTTTTCGGTTCCCCCCCCACCGGGTTCAACAGCGATGATCTTTTCTCTCTCGTGTGTCCCGCTGGAGATTACGTGAGGTCGTGTGTGCAAACGGCAAACCTCCTGGCTGCTGTCAGTGTTTAACACATGTGAGCGATTACTTTTAAGAGAAAGATCCCTGCAGAGAGACCCGTTCCTACCCCTTTGTAACTTGGATCGAAGACAGAGAGAGAAGTCAGCTGTAAGAGGGACTCGTGCAGGAGGACGGGCTGGACAGAGATGACCGACCGCCTTCTCTGGATTTGCTCCTGGATTAAATGACCTCCCTGGGAGAAACCGCCTACACACCCATTCCAGCACAGTTTAACCTCTTCTGAATTCCTCTTGGGGAAATACTTTCAGAGCCTGTAGCACATTTTTTTGAAGATCCTCAAATATTTATCCTTTGGAGGGTAGATTTGATTTTTGTAAACAGAAATCATTCGGAATCAGGTCTCGGCATTACGTGAGGTTTTCAAGCTAAGCCGTACCGCTTTTATCAAACACGAGGCATTAGCGTCTATGAAATGCAGTTTGTGAGGATCTTGTTCATTGATTTCTGAAGATACCGCTCAAAGAAGAGTTCTCAAACCCCGAGCGGCCAGGGATTAAGTGTACGGCTTTCAAAGGAGACGTTTGTTCAGATGTGCTGTGCTCTAGCCTGTTTTTTAAATCCTCTAAAAAATATGAATATATTAGAAATATCAGTGACTGGATTGTTAGTCCAGTGCCTTCAGGAGCTCTGTTTTTAATAAAATGCTTTAACGAAAACACAATGGCTACACAGAATGTAGTACTCTCAATTGGGTCCCAGACCAGAAATGGATATCCCTGGAAAAACTAATGAAATCCAAATAAAGTCTGGAGTTTAGTTAATGGTAGTGGACCGACATTCGGTTCTTGGTTTTGACAAACCATCCGGTGATAATATTAGGTGTTAACCATAGGGAAGTGGGTTAGGGGTGTATGGGAATTATATTATCTATATTATCTTTGTACTTTTCCTGTAAATCCAAAGTTATTCCAAAATGAAAAGTTCATTTGAAAAAAATGAATTACTAGAAAAAGGTGTGTGTGTGGGGGGGGACCCAGAGTGTGACGTTGTCTGTGAACATAACTAAAGAGTCCTTTTTCTCCTGCTCCCCTGTTTTCTGTCTGCAGCATTGACAAGATTTCTAAAGTCACCTCTCCGGTGTTGGTCATTCATGGGACCGAAGATGAGGTCATCGATTTCTCCCACGGCCTGGCCATGTATGAGCGCTGTCCCCGAGCCGTGGAGCCCCTCTGGGTCGAAGGGGCCGGGCATAATGACATAGAGCTTTATGCACAATACCTAGAAAGACTAAAACAGTTCATATCTCACGAACTTCCTAACTCCTGAAGACGACTTGATTTTTACCTCATTTACTGTGAACACAAGGGTCCTCTTTTTGCACACGCTTTAACTGGGTAGCGGTCACCGCGCGATGACCACGAGGAAGTGCCCGGCCTGTAGGGTGTTCTCGTCAAAGAGCTGGGGGAACCTCAGCCGTGTAGCTAGAGAATTTCTACTAATTCACACAACCTCTTATACTGAACTGCTGTGATTTCCAGCTTCGGGACCTTGGGGGGGATTGGGAATGAGGGCTGGAGGTGGGGACGGGTTTCTTGCTATCTGAGGATGCTCCCATCTGTGTCTCTTCCTTACCCATCTCTTAGGATTCATTTACGCAGGACTCCCCCTCCCTCCCCTCCCCCATGCCCTCTGCATTCGCGGGGTCAGTCCATCAGTGAAGCTGTGATAGAGCAACTGGAAAGCTGGTGACAGAAATTCCTTTAACTTTTGTTAACGTGCCGACCTTTCCCCCCAAACAGATCATTTGAAGGTTCTTTTCCTGGAACAGCTTCACCAACTGGAACCCTAGACATATAACTGGAATATTCTTAAACAAAAATAACTGGGTGTATTGGTTTTGGTTTTTTGGTGTTTTGTTTTGTTTTTTTCCCAGTGTAAATTTATGACTAGCCAACAGACTTTTCCTCTTTTGATTGGTTCGCCTACCAAGAGCCGGATTTCCACCTGGCGAGTCCTCCTGAGAGGGTTTTTAAAAAGTCCTGTACATATTTGCGACCATATTGTGCATAGATTCTTAATGGGTAGATGTCCTTTGTCAGGGTACACCAATGAACTGCAAATTCCTTGTTTGTAATGTAAATGATTGGATACATTTTGTTAATATGTTTTTATTCCTATGTTTTGCTATTAAAAAATTTTATAACATTTCCAAGACAAAAAAAAAAAAAAATTTACCAGTTTATGCTTTGGAGAATTTATGTAATTAAAATTTCACTAAACTAATCTTTTTAGTTTAGTTGGTATTTGGGTTTGACACTGGAGTTGCTTCTCAGAAGCATCAGGAAATGTGAGATGCTTAAAATCGCTACACTGTTCGTATTTGGTTGGGGGTTTGGGTTTGGAGGGGGTTTTCTGGGTTTTATTTTAACTTTTTTTTCCTTCAAATTTAAAAGCCTTAATGTACTACTGTCAGCCTCTGATCATTGTAAAGCGGTCGGTTACCAGTTTGTGTACTGTTGCTTGGGGCAGCTCAGCCGCGGGTCACGGAATAAAGGATGCATGGACCAGAGCGTGGGGCTTGTGCCGTTTTTCCCTTCTCTCCCTCGGAGAAAATCACGATTAAGAGACGTTTTGTTTCGATTTGAGAGGAAACCCTTGGGCGTACACACTTCGTCACCATCCTCAAGGTATAGACTTGTGTTTGGTCAGAGAACTTAGATGACTTTTGGAAGAAGTCAAGCTATAAAATGTGTCGCTGGACAGGGCAGATGGAACCCAAATAGGGTAGGTGGTGGATTTGGGGACATGGACCAACTCTCCCAAAGAAGGCACTGAGACCACTGAATAGTAAGACTTCTTGAATGGATGCACGAGCTGGTAAGGAAATTAACGCAGCGGTAGTTGGGGGTGGTGAGGGGCACATGCCGAGTACAGATGAGAACCAAGGGGAAGAGCTGCTTTGAAACCCATTTTCTCTTGGAAGAAATTTTCTGAGCCAAATTAACTTGAGCATCCAGGTTCACCTGAGCACTGGTTTCCCATCTGGTGGAACTCAGGGGACCATAGACCCAGAGCTCCCTCCACAGAGAGGAGACGAGTTGGAAACTGCCTTTTTAGGGGAAATCAGACGACCATCTGGATAGACCCAGAGAAAACATTTGATGGAATTTCCATGTCCCTTTCATGATTAGAAACCAAACAAAACTCTCGTCAAACCAGGAATAGAAGGAGACATATACAGAGAGATGATCTCAAAACAAGAATTGCAGTGAGTGGTTAAACGGGGGGGGAAGGGAAGATTATTCCACTTAAGACAGAGAATTAGCTCATGTGCCAACTTCCCTCAATGCTGTTCAAAATTAAAAGTCCCTCAAAAGTGCAGCAGAGCCAAAAAATGAAAAACGTTTAAGATTGGGGAAAAAGGGATGAATGTGTTCTAAAACCAGATTACTGTGGTTGCACAACTCACTAAATTTTCCACAAAAAAAAATTGTTCAAATGGGCACATAAAGGGGTGGGTTTTATGATACGTAGATTACACCTTAATACAAATTTTAACCTGAAATGACTATAATAATATTGTATTGTTATGGAACTCAAGGGGTCCACAGCCCGGGCTGCTGTATTCAAAAATGAGACCTGGTTATTGCAAGCTAGTTTTATTTACTTGTAGCAGTAAAGGAGACAGGGGATTCACATCCAAAACCATTTCCCCAAAACGAGGCTCAGCTATGGCTTGCACACACTATTTGGTCAAGTACGTGTTGATTTCTTCTTGGACATCGGCTCCTTCCATCAGGTTCCGTTCCTGTCAGCTCATCTTGCTTACAGCTGGTCTGCAAGATACTGTACTACATTTTAACGTTTAGCGAGAATAGCATTTAGTAAGAACGGTTGAGGTCTTGAGACCCTTGTCCGATCTAACAATATGTCAACTGTAATGGGGGGAAAATGCTGGCTACTTAAAACGATATTCCTAGATTATGACAGTCTGTGTAGAGCACCTGAAAGTATCCTAAACACATCCAAAAGGCACTGGAGAGTCAAAGGTGTGACCCGTTTGCAACCTGCGCTGCCTCCAGGCCAACATGGAAAATGTGCTCCCCGGGACCACGGGGAAGGTTTTCATCCAGGTCCCCCAGTCAGGTCTCTTTCATGGACATGAGGTGTCCAAATCGCACAGCTCCGGCTCCAGGGCATCAGGCGTTTGGCTTGCACCAGCCAGGTCTCAGGTGGAAAGCAGGAACTCCTTTACCACGGTTGCCCCGGGTTGACTCGGACGCAGAAAACCAGCGCACCGAGCGCCGGAAGCGAGCGGTCACAGCGCCGGAAGTGAGCGGTCACAGCGCCGGAAGTGAGCGGTCACAGCGCCGGAAGCGGACAGCGCGGGAAGAGGTTGTTCCCGGCTCACTGGGTCGTGAGAAGCACGTGGCCCGTAGCTTCTCGTGATTTATAAGATTTAGGATGTCGGTTGACCACGGGGAGCCTATCCCAGCAGGTAAATTGCTCGTCGAAGTCCAGGCCCAGGGAGCACCTCTTCCCCGGGTCCTCGTGTCTGCAGTCACGCGATGCAATCACGGAACCAGGTTGCCGGACACGAAACCAGTGTCTAAAAGTCGACCTCATTTCTGCGGGTCGGCCAGAAGTTTTAAAATTCAGTAGAAAGAAGAAAGGTACCCATTTTCTATAGCATTTTGTAAAGTATGAAGGACCTGGGAGTAACGCCGCCCCGTGCACAAGAATGTTCTGGAGAACGTCAAGTTTTCTTTTAAAGACGTTGCAGACCTCAGGTAATGAGAACCGTCTACATGTTCATGAGTGAGAAGGCTTATTATGATTATTATTATTATTATTATTTGGTTAATCCTCACTGGAGGGTATTTTTCTCTCTTTTTTTTTTTTATCCTCACCCGAGGACATTTTTCCATTTTTTTTGTTCAGGTAGAGTGGGAGGGAGAGAGAGGAAGGGAGAGAGAGAGAAACATCGATGTGAAAGGGACACATCGAGTGGCTGCCACCTGCACGACCAACCAGGTCTGGGGACAAACTGCAACCGAGGTACGTGCCCTTAGCGGGAACCGAACCCGGGTCTCTCTGGACCACAGGCCGATACTCCAGCCGCTGAGCCAAACCGGCCAGTTTTGACGTTGATTTTTTTTTTTTTTTTTTAATCCTCACCCAAGGACATTCTTCCATATTTTGTTCAGGTAGAGTGGGAGGGAGAGAGAGAGAGAAGCATCGACGTGAAGGGACACATCGAGTGGCTGCCACCCGCACGACCAACCAGGGCCGGGGACAAACTGCAACCGAGGTACGTGCCCTTAGCGGGAACCGAACCCGGGTCTCTCAGGACCGCAGGCCGACGCTCTAACCGCTGAGCCAAACTGGCCAGGGCCAGATCTGTAATTCTTAACAGGAGCTGGGTCTGTGACCATGTCATACTTAGGATGTCTATACCTTTGGGCATTTTTCTGGGGAGAAATTCCACACTTTCAATAGGTTCTTAGAAGTGTCAATAATTCTGATAGATTAAAAACAACGAGAGCCCTGGCTGGTTTGGCTCAGCGGTTAGAGCATCGGCCTGAGGTCCAGAGAAACCCGGGTTCTCCCACTAAGGGCACGTACCTCGGTTGCAGTTTGTCCCCGGCCCCGGTTGGTCATGCGGGTGGCAGCCACTCGATGTGTCCCTTTCACGTTGATGTTTCTCTCTCTCTCTCCCTCCCACTCTATCTGAACAACAACAACAACAAAAAAAAAAATGGAAAAATGTCCTCGGGTGAGGATAAAAAACAAAACAAAAACAAAAAAAACAGCTAGATAGTCTCTACAGGTTCTTTTAAAGCTAATATTCTCAGATTCTGGGAACTGTGAGAGTAGATTTCGGAGGCTTGGGAGCTGGACTCGTCCTGCAGGCAAACCCAGGGAGGGGTGGTGGTCAGAGCTTCTGTGAGGAGTGGAGCAGAGACGCAGACGCATTTACAGGCCCAGGGTGGGTGAGACTGAGACACCCCTGGGCGTGGGGACAGCAGGCCTTGCTGTGAGTTTTGGGCCATGGCAACCATGTGGTCTTGGGCAAATCTCTGAACTGCCCTTACCTTGTTCTTCATCTCTAAGACGGTAGCAATACCGCCCAGGCCGCCGCAGGAGGATCCGCTGCAGTTCTTTCGGCAGAAACGCCTTGCAAAGGTCATGGGGCTTGGACGCATTCATGAAACAGATGGCCCAGGTCTGGTGTAGAGCAAAGCAGAAACGGTGTAAACTCTAGCCGAAGACTGTCAGCCCGGTGGGTGCTCTCCCTGTGTTGTTAATCGTTACTCTGCTGCTAAATGATTTTCCCTTTGACTGGTCCCAGCTTGTTCACCCCTGTCCCTGCCTGGCTGTGTCTGGGTGGAGGTGGGTCCAGGGGCTTCCAGATGCACAGATACTGTCTGAATCCCCCACCCCAGGTCTCCTGACTCTATGCTTCCTGGTGCCCCTTAGATGGGCCTATGCGGGCCCAAATGTCCCTCCTGAACTCAGCCAGAACTTTCTGAGCTGGGACGTGGTGAGGGCCAGGACCTCAGGGATAAAAGGGACCCAGGTGGGTGGAGAGGAACTGATACAGATGGAACTGATATAATTTAAAACACTTCAACGTTTTAAAATTTTCATCTGTATCAGTGGTTGAACATATTTTTACAGTTTAAGGGAGTCGGATGGAGGGGTGGGCTGGGAGGGGGAGCACCCTCATATTCTCAGTACTAAACCTAAGAAATGGAACATTCCCAGGACCTTAGAAGCTCACGTTCTCCCCCATTCTCTTCCTCTCCCTCCACACCCCACAGAGTACCCCCATCCTGAGTTCTCTACTTGCTCCTCTTCTTTACAGCAGGAGAGTGTGTGAGCTCTGTTGGTAGACATTTAGGGTGTTTTCCAGATTTCTGAAGTGAAAGATACTTCTGTGCATCTCATGATAGGAGAGATTGCTGGCTGCTGCTTGTAACCTTGCTGACATGCTACAACGACCCGAGAGGCGTTTTAACATACTGGTACCCAGGTCCCGTCCTCTGAGATTACAATTTAACCCGCCGAGGGTGCCGCCTGGCATCTGGACTTTTTAAAGCTCACCAGGGGTTTCCAGTGGGCATCTAAGTGCAGACTGGGACTCGCTGGTCCCTGGTTTGGTCGTGAGTGAGGC